TTTGTTAGAGCTAGCATGAACTACCATCCTGAAAGTAGGACCCTCGAAGAGGTACCGGGGGGGTAGAAAAAGCAAGCCCTGAACCCCAAACCCCAAAACCCCAAAACCCCAAAACCCCTAACCCCTAACCCCTAAACGCTAAACCCTAAACCCTAAACCCTAAACCCTGGGCGCTGTACGCAACGCCTAGGTGAAACGCCTAGGTGAAACGTGTCTTGACTAGCTCTTGAGTCATTGCTCCTGCACCCCTTGCATGCGTGACCTGCTTGACACGAAAGGTCAATGGTTCAGTGGGAGTGAGAATGATGCTATGCAAATGCATATCCCATCGACGCTGCAAAGTCGTACCACTGCGATAATTTGTGTTGACTGGGTAATACGATGTGAAACTAGATACATGCCCACGCTCGTGCTCTCAGATTTCAACAACCTCGGACGAGAAAGCAAGAAACCAGCCCTGCATGACAGCCAAAATCATGCCAATGACCACGCACATCCACGATCGTCAAGCCACAGCAGGTAAGAAAGCTGAGACACACACTCACGTTGATGGCATCGTGAAACCATAGCAGTCTGACCTGGGCAAACTCAAAGGCGGCAAAAACTTTGCAAAATGCACTCGGAGACATCATGTTGAATCCAAGTATGGTCAAAAATGCATGTCGAGAGCGAAACACCAAGTGCTGGGCTCGAGCGTGGCCCCAAGGCTTGCCGACATCACTTCTTCTGGAATCCAAGTTCCGTTGTCCTGTTGCAAGCAAAATAAGCAGCTACAGCAGCTCTCCTTCTGGCGGTAGATTTTAATCTTGGATGCTTGAAATGGCGACAAGGAAGGGTCGATAACCTGCAGCACGGCGAACAAGGGCTTGTTCGAAGCTGAAGACGAATAGGCGGACAAGCCCTACGCAAAGGCAAGCCGAGCACCCCTCAAGCATGACAACTCTGAGCTGTGGGCTTTCTTCAGTTCACCGACCTACAAAGCAGAGCTGAGCGGCTTTGTATTAGCGTGATGAGGAGTTGAACGAAGCAAAGACAGCAACGTATTGCAACGTTGTTACAAGAAGCATGACAACAAGCCAGCAAGAAGGCCATAGCAAAGCTAAGGTTAATGCGTTCGCCAACTCTCCCTTGACTTGGAAAGCGTCGCCACTCGGCTGTAAGTCCACACCGTCCTGCAGTTTCAACAGGCACTCAACAACACACTGATGCCAGCGCCACCCTTTCAACCAATGTCTTGCTGTGCTTCAAAAGAAATAGCAAAACTTGATGAGCGTGACAAGCAAGGCAACGCATCACGCAACCTTTTGAAAACATGACAACATGGCTGAGGGAAGTTTATTGGTAAAGTTTCTGCTCAACAAACCACTTGTGTTTGAGCCTAACACTAGTCAAAGGAACTTCGAAACTCGAAAGGTGAGATTTTGAGTAGGAAGAGTCAAATGGACATGGCAAAGGAACAAGGGCATGGCAGCAACACATGCAAAGTCTTTTCCCTTCATCTTTTCTATGATTTAAGGAATAATACTGGAAGGCATCATTCAACAAATCCTAAGCAATAACCCTGCAATCTCCGCCCCAAAAGTCCTGAACCCTACGAAGAACAAACCATGACAGAGCGCTGTCTTGCGCAACCGACTTACCCGCAACACTCCGTTCTACATGAATGGGCATAAACATAGGCATGACGAGAATCAATCAATTGCCAACTTCTGGCTTTGGTGAGACAAGGTCAGCATGCGGATCCGTTGTTTGAAACCAAGACACCAGACACCAACATATCATCTCCTTCATGACGATCTGACCTAGCCATGAAAAACCTGTGCATCCTTACAACCGGCACTAAACGAAGGGTGTGGCGAAGGAGCAAGGGCGTGGCAGAAAACACATACTTGGTCTTGCGTCTCACACATCTCTATCAATGTGGAAGATATCCATATCTTTCAACAGTTTCTGAGCAACAAACAACCCGGCAATCTCTGCCCAAAAGTCCTGAACCCTACCGAGAACAAAACATGACAAGCGGTATCTCGCACAACCGACGTACCCGCAACCAATACCTTGGGAAGTCATATGCACAGCGTCAAACTTTGTAAGGCTGACAGGAAGTTTGACTCTCCTAGGCTGCAGTCCTCGCGTAGTTGTCTCACCCAAACAGAAGAAGGTGTTGACATAGTGCCCCTGTTTCCTTGCAAGGCACAAAGTAGATACAGACAAAATGACCAGCGACATGTCCGTTTGCATTGGAAAGACAGTCTGGCTTCTTCTTGGCGCTGAAGTGCAAAAGGGTCAAGTTTCAAAAGGTCTACGAGCAAGCTGCAAGCGTCACTGAACCAACTTGACACCGAAAGCACCCGACAAGTGCATCCAAGCTTCTTGCGCCCATCCTGTCGACGCGCTCCAGCTCTTTGGCAATTTTCCACCTCATCAATGTCCCTGATGGCACGAGTGCAGTTTCATGCTCGCCCTCCCAAACGCCTTCAGGAAGGTCGAAGGCTTTTGCATCTTGTGGAACGATGCCACCCACATTCTTCTCGGCGATGAGCTTCGCACCCATGTCTGCTTCGATCTCATAGACGGGAGACCAGCCCTGCTTGGCCAAGTTTTGGAGGTGCTTCTTTGCATCAGGGTCGGCAGCGCAAGTGGGCAAGCCGGGGCATTTCAGCAAAACAAAAGGGTCAAACTCAGCCCCAAATGTTCGCAATTGCTGCACTCCTAGGCAGCAAAGGTCGATGTTTCCACCAGAATAGCGGAAGAATTGCTCTGCAAGCTCGTCGCTCATGTTCCATCGCTTCACCATGAGCTCCAACATGTCCTTCTTGGGCACCTCGTTGGCGATGATAATGTTTTTGATATCCAGCAAGTTCAAGCCACAAGCTTGAAGTCGGTAAGGATAACCCAGCTCTGAACTGATGAGCACAACGCTTGCAAGGCCGCTCTCCTTGGTGAGCATCACGAAGTATTGCAATGCTCTTTGTGCCGACTCAGAGTCAGTAGTCACTGGTGGGGCTTGGTTTGCCTCATCCACGACAATGCAGGTCGCGTTGCCTTTCAAGCCGCTTATGAGCGCTGACAGAGTCTTCTCCTTGTCGCTGCTTGATAACCTCTCAATCAGGGCTGTAATCGCTGCAGAAATTGGTGTTGAGGAAGCCGCTGCCACTTTGTCCGCATTCGTGCCGACGAAGACAGCACTTGCAAGGCCCCCAATGCCCGAGGCCACCTTTTTCACAATGTCCCTGAGATTCGATTCCCAGTCATTGCTCTTTTCTGCAACCCTTTCTAATATCGCGCTGAAGAGTTCTTGACTCGGGCGCTCCCTCATATTCACGTCAATAATCGTCAGTTTGGCGTTTGCCTCATTTTCCACTTTGCAGACTGTCTGGCTGCGAATCAGCGTTTTGCCAAGATTCTTCCCGCCAAGCAATAGAGTGAACTTGTTCGAGAACAGCGCATCTCTCACTGCCTTCGATAATTCACCCCTGTGCGCAATCTCCTTGCTTCTGACGAACTCATCTTGCAGCCGTTCTATATTGGACAAGTACTCATCAACCTCCACTCCTTCTCGTGTAGCAGCCTCACATGCCAGCCTGTAGAAACCATATGGTGGACGTAGTGTTGGTCTTCCTTCGTCTTCTTTCCGAGTGCTGCGCAATACGATGCTGGAGCTCTTGCCTTGATGTCCTGAACAAATCAATTTAGAATGAACAAAGGCAAGAAAATGTTTCACTAAAGTCTGTAAAGAAATTTGCAAAATCTTCCAACCCTTTGTCGAAGGCACTGTGGTTCAATGATTGGATGAAACACACGGCAGCGGCAAGGTAGTACACAAGAACCGGCAATACGAGGAACCATGGCAGTCTGTGGTCTGTGGGAACGTGTCATCGTCAAACAGCACAGAAAATTGGAACAAAGCACATATTTGCTGCCTTTGTCTTGCAAATTGCGGAGTTCTGTTACACCCGTCGAAGCACATGAGTAAGCACCTGGGTGCAGGGCTGATAGTTTAGCGATAGAGATAGAGTTTGGGATTTCGGGGTTTAAGGTTCGTGAAGTGCTGCAGTCTTCCAAACATGAAGGGTGGTTCACTTTGGGAGGCTAGCTCTTGTAGCTTTGAGAACAAGTTGGAATTTAGGGTTTAGTGGCTCGGCATTTAAGGTTGGTTTAGGGTTTAATGACTATTTACTGTAGGGTTTCGGGTGAGGTTCATGCAAAACCACCGCCACGCAACGCTGTGTCTCGTGCGGCACTCTCCATATGGGATATTACTCAACCAACCCGAGGCCAGCGCAAGCAAGCAAGACAACATCATCGTGGAGGCAAGGGCTGCGCTAGAGGGCCATCCCGATAGAGAGTGGCAAGCGATGGGATCGCCGCCAGCTGGATTCGCAGTTATCCAATTGGTGTCTTCGAGTAGCCCCAACCACGACATCACCTGAACTGCATGCTTTCTGCGCGTGGGGGCGGTCCGACACCGGCCTGGGCGAAGTGCGCGTCGACGGCGGAGATGGGCGGATGCTTCACCGTGCACTACGAGCTGCGGGGAAGGAGGATGCTTTCGGCATGCTTATAGAGACTTAAGACTAAGAGGCTTCTCTGCCACCTCTGCGACCTTTTCCCGAAGCCTCGTCCTGGAAGCTTTCTGTCTGCCACAAGGAGCATTTCAGGAAAAACACCAAAAACGGACACCTATTTTGCTCACAGACTGTGGCAGCGCATCCGCGAGGGCTCAGGTCGCTGGCATCGCCGATTTGTGAAGCAGCTTCTCGTCACCACCGGCGTCACATCTGAACTTCTTGACAAGTCCCCGACACCACGCAGTCCGCGAGCCCGACCAGCTGCTTCTGCGTGCCGTTCTGCAGCTTCTTTGGCACCGCAGCTGGGAGGCGTCCTGATGCAGGAACAACTGGGGTCGTCAACATTACCTTGTTAATATACATGCAAAAACAACAGGTGCCGAGTGGAAGCTCGTACAACACAACCTGTGTGTGAGTCTTGCGAATGACTGAACTGCATCGCTTGCTGATTTATATAGCTCGCTTAACGTGCATTGCCACTCTCCGACCAGCAGTTTCCATGTGCACGATTGGGCTAGATATGTTCTGGGTTTGTGTGCCGTTCTCCAGATGGGTAGTCTCCTGGTCTTGATGGCCTCGAAGCCGCACTGGTTGCCAGACCTGGTACAGTAAAATTTAGGTGCCACTACTGCCTTTACAGTACTTCGCAATCCGCAAGCAACAGGAAGAAATTCACCTGGTCACATGGACGGATCTGGGGTATCGCATGGCATTCTGAGAAAGCCTGGAAGTGAAGCTTCACAGGGAGGAGGTCGCGGCCTTGACTTCTAAGATCTGGCTTCTCTTAGTGGAATCAGTGTGCAGCTACCAGTACCAGGTTCAGCATATACCCTGAGTCGGGTGAGGCATCCAAAAAATTAAATAGGCATCAACCAAAACTAAACAGGAACATCAAAAATCAACCTACATTAAGCATCAAAAAAACTTAATCAGTAAAATAAGCATCACAAAAATAAGCCCATATCTTACACACGCCCTTTCATGTGGCGATACCGTTTCATCATACATCTTAAAAACGCACCCTCATTGGCGATTCCGGTTCATCATAACTTAAACACGCCCACCCATTTGGCGATTCCGGTTCATCATATACCTAAAAAACACGCCCCCTCATTTGGCGGATTCATCATATATCTATAACACGCCCCCTCATTGGCGATTCTGTTCATGATATATCCTGAACACGCCCCCTTGAACCGTTACCGGAAGGAGGGATCCTGATCGAGCAAGAACACTACGTCGACGAGAAGATCAAGCCCATCCCGGTGACCAGGATGAGAAAGAACCAGCGCTACTCGTACTGCTCCGAAAAGGAGGTTGCCGAACTACGTTCCCTGGTTGGAGCACTGGCCTGGCTGGCCAAGGAGACTCGGCCCGATCTATGTGGCCGGACTTCCCTACTTCAACAGAGCTTTCCTCGTCCCAGAGTACGTGAGCTACTACAAGCCAACGCCATCGCCCAGGAGGCCATCAAGTTTCCCGCGGGGATCAAGCTTTCACCGATCCCGTTGGACCGGCTCCGGGTTTGGCGATTCCGGTTCATCATATATCTCAAAATATCTCAAACATGCCCCATCGTTTGGCGATTCCGGATTCATCATATATCTTAATTAACACGCCCCCTCGTCTGGCGATTCCGGTTAATCATGAATCTGAATCGCGGCCCCTCGTTTGTCGACTCCGGTTCCTCATATATCTATAACCCGCCTTCTCATTTGGTGCTTCCGGCTCATCATATACATATATCTTAAACACGTACCCATTCATTTGACGATTCCGCTTCCTCATATATGTTAAACACGCCCCATCATTTGGCGCTTCCGGTTCGTTATGTATCTACAACACGTCCCAAACACAATGATCGCATGATGGGTTTCAAACTCAGGAAACTCAAACACTTACTTTGAAGCAAGGTTGCAC